TGGCAGAGCATGGGGCGGTGACGCCGCACACCGGCCTCCCGCGCCTGCCAGCCGGGGCGATCGGGCGGCGGCGGAGAAGGAGGATGCAACCTTCGCCGACGGCTCGCCTACCGGGGTGCTGGGTAAGCCCCGGGGAGGGGGGTGTGGGGGGGATGGGGGGAGTGGAGGGGCGCCCCGGGCTGGGGCTCAAGGAGAGGGTGTGTGTGTGTGTGTATGGGAGAAGGGGGTGGAGGATCCTGGAGGTGGGAGACCCAGCTGCAGGTGAGGGGTGCGAGGGTCGGCGGCACCCCGGGAGGTTGCCACCCCCTCCCCGCGTGCGGGCAGCGGCCGGCCGGGGCGCAGAAGTGGAGACCGGGCCAGGCGCCTCCGATCGCCCGCGGTGTAAACTTTTCCCCTGGCGACGGCGGACTGCAGGGGTGAAGCTACGCGGCGGGGAGCCGTGGGGCGAACCCCCCTCCCTCCCCCACCGGGCTGATGCAGCCTGGTTCGGATGGGACCGGTGCAGGGCGGGGAGGGGGGAGCCCACCCCTCACTTCCCCCCCTCCACACACACACACCGTGAGAGACCAGGAGGACGCGATCGCCCCTCACCTGGAAGGTTCCATACCCCACTCCCATCCCATCTCCCCCCCCCCTCACGCCTCGGAAGGTTCCGGGCGTTCATGGCAGGGTGGGCGCAGGGAAGGGGGGGGGCGGCACGCGAGGCCACTGCACCCCGGCCGCGCGCTCCCAGCCAGAGAGGAAGGGCGGGCGCTGCACCCCGGGGCTGGAGCGCATGGCTGGCTGCGACCCAGAGGCCCGAGGTCGGGGGGAAGAGGAACGGAGGGGGGGTGGGGGATAAGTGGGGGGGATCTCTGCGGACCCCGGGACGAGGGTGGCCGATCTGAACCCGGAGTGGCTAGGACTGGGGTGGCAGAGAGGCTGCGGCTCTGCAGTGCCGCCACCATCACCACCCCCCACCATGTCCCTGCCCACCCGCGTGGGGCGCCGCTGGCCTTGGCGAGTTAGCAACCAACCCTGACCCCCCTCACCCCCGCCCCGGGAGAGCAGAGTCTCCCCTGGTGTATGGAGGAGGGGGAGGCTTGGGGAGGGGTCGAAGGTTGGGGATGGAGGAGGGTGACAAGAGAAGGCTCTTGAATCCCCCCCCCACACACACACACAACACACACCACCACCCCGCTCTTGCCCCCTGGTCCAGCCAAAATACACCCCCCCTTCCACATAACCACCCCATACCACCCCCAGGACCCGCCCAGGTTGAGTCTTTTTTATTCTTCCCAGCAATGGAAGAGGGCTTTTTTTTTCTAGGTGGAAGTGCTTTATGTGCTCCCCAAATCTAAAGTTGTGGGGGGTGATGGGGGGTCTCCCCAACAAAGAGAAGATTCCTCATTGAACTCTGGGTTGTTGGCATTTGCTGAGCCTCTGCCTGCCTGGTGCGCAGGTGGCGAAGTTCCGTGTGCCTTGTCTGAGCTGCCTGGGCTGGAGACACGCAACCAGCCTCTTGCCTGGATTACAATCGCCTTCATTAAGGCCCAGCTCCCATTATTAAGTCATTTAGTCATGGGGGGGGGGGGTAGGATGCTCAGGAAGTACGAAGTCTCTCTTACAAGCAGTCCTATTATTGCCAGCCTGGAGAACGACTTTGTTTTTTCTAAATGTGTGTGTGTATGTGTCTCTCTCTCTCTTTTTCCTCCTTTTTTCCACCTACTTTTCCTTCTCTCCTCCCGCCCCCCCCCCCACACACACCTCCCCAGCACCTTGTACAACCAGGAGGAGCCCGCTGGCTTTGAACCAGGTGTCAGAGATTTCAGAAAAGGTAAATGATTCCACCTTGTGGATTTAAGAGATTCAAGGTGATGGTGCCTTGGAAAACTTGAGAGCACTGATTTGAATTGTGGAAACCGTGGGGGTGTTTACTAATGTACTAAAAATAAAAATAAAGTAGTATTGGAGACCTGGAAAGGGGTGGGAAAGTGGAATCAATTCAAATGATTTTTTTGCACCCTGTCAGTGCCCAACTGGAAATTCAGCCTTATTGAAACCTGTCTGTCACCCACCTAACTGCCCGGTGAACATTCTAGAAGTCACTTGGTGTGTGTATGTGTGTGTGTGCTGGCAGGAAGGGGAGATGGTGAGGCAGACACCTTGTCTGTCTGTACGTTGCTGTGTGGTCGTAGCATATAACTCGATTTAAATCAGTGGCACCAAAAAAATCAGTTATAGTCTAATGTTGGCCCCTTTTCTGTACTTTTCAGGCTCAAGATCAAGTTGGAGAGAAGAATCTTTATTCTCACAAACTTCATCTTGTTTCCACAACTATTCTCATTGGGAATGGACAATGGAAAGGTCTCTAGCTTTATCATGATCAAAAACCTCCTCCTCTTTTGTATTTCCTTGAACTTAACCAGTCACTTCGGGTGAGTTATTATCTGTGCTTTTTGGCCTTGGGGTTTTTTGTTTGCTTATTTTTGTTGTGTTGTGTTGTGTGGGTCCTAGGGCTTGAACTCTGAGCCTGGGTGTTGACCCTGAGCTTTTGGGCTCAAGGCTAGTGCTCTATTACCATAGCATCATTTCCAGGCTTTTTTTGGGGGGGAGTTGGTAGTTAATTGGACATAAGTGTCTTATGGATTTTCTTTCCCGGGGCTGGCTTTGAATCTCCATCCTCAGCTCTCAGTCTCCTGATTAGCTAGGATTACAGGCGTGAGCCACTGACCCCCCAGCTTGTTTGGTAGTTGTGAGGAGTGGGGGCATTGGAGCCTTGAAGAGAGGAGCAGGAATTCAGCAAGCCCTGGCTTGTCCCTTTTGCTGCCTGACTCCCTTCAGCTTATTGTAAATAAATGAAAGCCTTTCCCTTGACCTACAGATACATTCCTCCTGAGCCAAGGGGGCTCCAGGTGTGTGTGTGTGTGTGTGTGTGTGTGTGTGTGTGTGTGTGTGTGTGTGTGTGTGTGTGACAGGTCGGTGGGAGGGGGGAATTCTCTGGAGTGAGTCACAGAAAACGAAGCTATTATTTGTCAGAAATGGAAGCCAAAGATGTTTCAGAGTAAGCCACGTTCCCTCCTACTGGGATTAAAACTAGCTTCAGAAGTTCATGTACATAAAGGATGTCTGCTGCTGTTAGACTGGACAGCATGCAGCATTTAGATGGTCCTTTGGAGGCAATTCTTTAGTCATTGAATCTATCTTTCAAGCCAGGCTACCAAAGTACCCAACTCAGTCCTGGCTTGAGCCAAGGGCCCGGGACAGCCCATGTAAATACAGAAATCACACACTACACCTGGCTATGATTTCAAAGACACCCCTGAGATTCTGCATACGACCACTTTCTGAGCCCCTTCCACTTGATTGTTGTTGGTGTAGATAGCCCTGTGTCAATCCTCACCTTGGTCCATTAAACTAGTATGAACCAGTGTTCCAGATGTGGCTTGTGAGAAGGCAGCTGTTGCTCCTCTAATTTAGCCCATCTCTGCCAGGGTCTCAAAATTCTTCTGGTTCATGATAAATCATTGCAACCGAAAGCTGATGGAATTCCAAGGAATTCCCTTTCGGGATTAATGTTGCCAAAGTGTTAGTTCTATTAAAAAGAAAAGAAAAGGTGGAGGGGGGGATGGTGTCCGGAGGATGCACAGTGTATTCTGCACATGTGTAAACCTTAAAGGCAGATTGGGTAGACAGCGACTACAGGCAAGTAAAAATGTCTTCTTCTAGGACCAGGGCATTCCCAGTTTATCCTCTGGACCATTCTCTGCTCTGCTGAGCCTTGAAGATTTGAGCAGAGAAAGAAAAGGACAGACTTAAAGTCTTCCTTCTCAGGTGCTGTCACAGTAGCTCAGGTGGGTGTAAGCCCATGTGTGAGTCTGTCCAGCAGAGTATAGTGAAGCAGTGTGCCCATCTCTCAGCATTACTGGCCACATGAATGGAAACAGGTGTCTGATGTTCTTCTGGCTCTGTCTATCTGAGGGGAGGCTCACTCTCCAAGGCCTTAAATGAAGGCTTTCCTTTCTACATCCTCTGCAACTGTTCAGTCTTAGAAGCTCTGGCGTCCACTGTGTTTTTCTGAATGGAAGGCGTATTCATTGGTGAACTGCTACAGAGCACATCATGTTGTGATTGTAGGCATGGCGGGATTTGGGTTTATTTACTGATCGACTGACTGTGTATAGGCAGTGATCTTTTGGAATTGACACATTCACGAGAGAACTGGGTGGGAAACTTATGGCTTTTTGACAATTTAGCCTTGAACCGGAAGCCACTTGTACAAGTTGTTATAGTAGATCTATCATTTTGTTCTGTAGGTCATGTACAAAGTAGGTGGTAATGATGGTGTTCTAGAAGGAATCACTGAACACGTAAACCCTGAATCTTTCTAGAAGATTCACTGTTGCAGAATGTTTTAATTTTTTTAGCTAGACATATTTTTAATAGCCCACTATAAAACACTAGAAACATGTGGGATATAATAAAGTATAGAGAAGCAAAAGGTCCTTAATTCAGCTACTCACTCAGAGATGGTTATCTTTTGCATTATTGTAGTTTTTGTTGTTTTTTTTTTGTCGGTCGTGGGGCTTGGGTGCTGTCCCTGCACTCTTCAGCTCAAGGCGAGCGCTCTACCACTTGAGCCACAGCAGCACTTCTGGTTTTCTAGCGGCTTACTGGAGATAAGAGTCTCATGGACTTTCCTGCCTGGGCTGGCTTTGAACCATGATCCTCAGATCTCAGCTTCCTGAGTAGCTATGATTACAGGCATGAGCCACCAGTGCCTTATTTTTTTCCTTGCTACTGTGTCTATTTCTGTACCGTTGTGAACGCATTGTGTGATCAATTTTTTATTATTTTTGTGGACCTAATACGTGTTATATATATATATATATATATACACACACATATATATGTGTATGTATACATATATATACATATATACGTGTATATATATGTATATATACGTATACATATATATGTATATATATTTAACAAATTCTTTAAACTATATACTTTTTAAAAAATGAACAGCCATTATTGTAGCGCATGCATGCATTGGCTTAACTTCTTCCCTCCTTTGAAATGCCTACTTGTCTCTGACTTTGCTGTCACAAAATTTCCTGGAAAGAAATTATTTGCTTTGCAGCTTTAAAAAAAAAACTCTTTGAAATTATTTCTCTTAAAAGATATTCCTGTAAGTGAAATTTTATGCAGGGCTCTTTGAGTGTTTTTAACTCTTGTTATGTTTTGGGCTTACTATCTATATTTTTCAGGTTAGCCTGGATCATATTATGTAGTTGAGTCTGGTCCTAAACTCTGAATCTTCCTGCCTCAGCCTCCCAAATGCTGGGTTTATGACTTTGAACTCTTTTTTTTTTCTTTTTTTGGCAGTCGTGGTTCTTGAACTCTGGGCCTGAGCACTTGTCCCTGAGCTCTTCAGCTCAAGGCAAGCACTCTACTACTTGAGCCACAGCACTACTTCCGGTTTTCTGGTGGTTCATTGGCGATAAGAGTCTCATGGACTTTACTGCCCGGACTGACTTTGAACCACGATCCTCAGATCTCATCCTCCTGAGTAGCTAGGATGACAGGTGTGAGCCCTGGGCACCCAGCAGGGCTTTGAACTTTTGACTCTGCCATGTCTACCTGCTTTTAATAAAAAGGAGATTTCAGTCAAAACTCCTTCTGTCCAGCAAACAACAACTACAAAGCACAGCCTAAAAGAGACCCAGCCAGCATTTTTTCCTCTTCTACAGGGTTGCTCTCATTTGCACATTCCCTAAATGTATGTAAGAGTAGTTTTCTTGAAAATCCAAAGGCAGCTTCATAACAATTTTTTTTTACTTTACATTTTGACAGAATAATAGCGACTGCAATGCAGAATGCCTGTTATTTATTTATTTATTTTGGTCCGGTCGTGGGGCCTGAACTCTGGGCCTGGGTGCTGTCCCTCAGCTCTTCAGCTCAAGGCTAGCACTCTACCACTTGAGCCACAGCGCCAATTCCGGCTTTTTTCTTTTTGCTTATGTGGTGCTGAGGAATCGAACCCAGGGCCTCATGCATGCAAGGCAAGCGCTCTACCACTGAGCCACCTTCCCAGCCCAAGAGTGCCTGTTCTTGTGAGAGTTTCAGAACAGTGGAGTCTCTGTGGGAATCAGACACCCTCAGCCCCATCCTCCAGCTGGGGCAGGTGGATGGATGAAGAGCTAATAATGTAGGAGGTCCACAAAGCCAAGAATCGCTGGGGTTCCTTATTTGTCATTCTTCCATGTCATTCTGCCTGGATCTATTGTATGATCCTTTGACTACAGACAGTCAGTCTGGAGAGAAAAGGAAGTCTAATTCTCAAAGGTGTCTTCAGCGTCCGAGGTAGAGGTTTCTATACTCTGAGATCGGGTGTAGTCAGTAATCTGAGCAAGCTCTATGTTTTTTTTCCCCCTTCTCCCTAAGAAAGAGTTGATGTAATTGGAATTCAAAAGAAAAATGAAGGGCTGGGAAGGTGGCTCAGTGGTAGAGTGCTTGCCTTGCATGCATGAGGCCCTGGGTTTGGTTTCTCAGCACCACACAAACAGAAAGAGCTGAAAGTGGCACTGTGGCTCAAGTGGTAGAGTACTAGCCTTGAGCTGAAGACCTGAGGGACAGCACCCAGGCCCAGCGTTCAGGCCCCACAACCAGCAAAAAACAAACAAACTAACAAACGAAAAAGAAAAGATTAGATATGTGTGGCCTACATCTGTAATCTCATGGTTCAAAGCCAGCCTGGGCAGGAAAGTCCAGGAGACTCTTATCTTCAGTTAACCACCAAAAAACCAGAAATAGAGCTGTGGCTCAAATGGAAAAGTGCTAGCCTTGAGTAGAAAAGCTCAGGGACAGTGGCCAGGCCTTGTGTTCAAGCCCCAGTAATGGCACACACACACACACACACACACACACACAGAGGTGAAAAAAATCTGTTTCAACATGAATCTAGAACCAGACAAATGCTGACATTTTAAAATGCAATCACTAGAGTCCAGAGAGCCGGTTAAGGTAAGAAAGGGATACAGAAAGCCAGGCTAGCCCGCAGCTGGTAGCTCCTATCTGTAATCCTAGCTACACAGAAGGCTGAGATCTGAGGATTGAGATTCAAAGGCAGGCCAGGCAAGAAAGTCGGAGAGACTCTTAACTCCAATTAACCACCAAAAAGCCTGAAGTATTGCTGTGGCACAAGTGGTAGAGCAGCAGCCTTGAGTACAAAAGCTCAGAAACAGCTCCCAGGCACTGAGTTCAAGAGGAAGGAGGGAAGGAAGGAAGGAAGGGAGGGAGGGAGGGAGGGAGGGAGGGAGGGAAGAGGAGCCGAAATAATATGAAACATTGTCCAAAATTGAGTATGCAGTATTTAAGAAAAGGGTGTTGAATTTGAAAAAAAAATGTATTTGTAAGAAGGAAATCCATTTGG